AATGTCGATTTTTCGATGCCCCGGATAGTATTTCCCAGGGATCTGATTTGGGTTCTAACTTTACCCCAATTCCTGATTCTGGCTCTGGGGTTGTCAATGGTGTTAGCTATGATGAGTGGATTAAAACCCCCAGAAGTGTTGTTGAGCGGCGTAAGCAATTCCGTTGTTGGATGGGTTTAAGTTTAGATGGAATGTCTGGAGAAGATCCAGTAGATATAGGTGGAAGCTCCAATTTATCTACTGGGGAAATTGAAAGAATTATGGAGAGTAGTGGAGCTGTATTACGAACCTCAATTCATAAGGACGAGTTTTCTTCTTACCGGTCTTCTAGGTCTGGTTTGTGTGGGGGCGAAGGTTTGGATTCACCTAAACAGTTGGGTTCAAATCGGAATTTTTCATTTAGAAGTGGCAATGTTGATAGTGGAATTGGGTGCAATGTACATGTTCAGGCAGAGAACGGCCAGCAGAGCAATAACAGGCCTGTAAGATTGGAACGACTGCTAATGTCTCGTGAACCCGAGAACTCTTCATGTATGTCCCCCGTTATTGGTGAACCTGGACAGGGAGAATTGGATAAAAATGGAGACACACCGAAGAAACTAAATGGAGTTAAGAGTCGGTTATTAAGCAGGCTACGGTCATTTACGTGCATAGCAAATGCCGAAGGGAGATGTCTTGAATTGAAGGATAACAGTTCCAACCCTGTTCAGAGGTCTAGAGTTCAGAGGGTTAAAGTTCACCATTGTAAGAAGCGGTTGAAGGAACTCTCTGCTCTTTTCATGGGGCAGGATATCCAGGCTCATGAGGGTTCAATTTTAACTATGAAATTCAGTTTTGATGGACAGTACCTCGCTAGTGCTGGTGAAGATAAGATTGTGCGGGTGTGGCAAGTGGTTGAAGATGAGAGATCCAATGAATTTGATATCCCAGAGTTGGATCCTTCATGTATGTATTTCACGGTGAATCATCTTTCACAATTGGCTCCTCTGGTGACAGATAAAGAGAAAAGTAGTAGTATGTTGAAGGGCCTTAAGAAAACAAGAGACTCTGCTTGTGTCGTTTTCCCTCCAAAGGTCTTTCGAATTCTGGAAAAACCGCTGCATGTGTTCCAAGGGCATACTGGGGAGATATTGGATCTCTCGTGGTCAAAAAATAATGTAAGTTTATTAAATTGTCTTTGATCAACAATTCTCTGAAAAATTCTGAAAGTAATCGTCTTTCTTGCTATGTATTGTTTCTGCAGTGTTTGCTCTCATCATCAACTGACAAAACTGTTCGTCTGTGGCAAGTTGGAAATGATCTGTGCCTCAGAGTTTTTTCACATAGTAATTATGGTATGTACAGACCTGTATTAAACTCCACTCTAGAATTCTTTTGTGATTAACATGTTTGTAGTGATTGAGTTTCATGTTGCATTACTCACTTTGATTTTGCAGTGACTTGCATACAGTTTAACCCAGTGAATGATGAATACTTCATCAGTGGATCAATAGATGGGAAAATTCGAATTTGGGCCGTTAACAGCTGTCAAGTATTGGATTGGACGGACATCAGAGACATAGTGACTGCTGTTTCCTATCGTCCTGATGGAAAGGTATGCTAATTTTCATCTTCTTAATCATGGTACCCCTGTAGTACAGACTCAGAAACTCGAGCAAATTATTGAAACAAATAATCTGCTTCATATAGGGTGGGATTATTGGCTCAATGGCAGGCAGTTGCCGTTTTTTCAGTTTGGAAGGTAACATTCACTCTTTGCTTTGTGGTATTGTTATTTGCCGTCATTATTATCTCCGAGAGTCCGATTTTTAAATTTATGGCACTGCAACACTATATGTCAAATTGTTACTCGTATTTAAATGGAATGTGGCTGTTGATTGACCTTAAGTTTTTCGAAAATGATGACATTTTGCTTGTGGTTGTCTGCACTTCTTGGCCTCTTTTATTACGATCATAATAGAAGTAAAGAGGCATTTATTCATGAGACCACAACTTACCTGATGTTACTAATATTTGTAGCTATCATGTATAACTTAGTGATGTGTTATTTCTGGAGTGTCAAATGTGTTTGCAAGATTACTAGGAACGTTTGGGAATACTCTGACTCAGTATTTTAGTCCATCCTTTTTCAGCAAAAACTTGCAATATTATATTTAGTTGGAGTTGAGACAAAGTTGTATTGTGACAGGTCATGAGATACAATTAGACGAGCAGATGTGCTTGGCCAATAAAAAGAAGTCGATTTGCGAAAGGATTACTGGCTTTCAGGTAATATTACATCACCAAACTACAGTTTGTGGTTCTGGTCAGATTAATTTTCTGATGTATCTTATGATGAGATGCGTATACATTGCTTTCTGAATGCAGTTTTTTCCACAAGACCCATCAAAAGTTATGGTTACTTGTGCTGACTCTCACGTCAGAATCCTAGATGGTGTCAATGTGATCGGCAAGTACAAAGGTTTGTTCCCTTCTCCTAATTCAGATAATATTTTATTTGATGTCCGTTTGCCCCGTCTTTTGAGTGCCTTCTGCTTTGCTTTAATGAATTGTAGGCAATGTGAATTGCTGCAAATTGATATTGTGATTTTGTATGACAGTGGGATGTATAGGAGACACTTTTCTTTTTTCACTTGAGTACTGGTTGCGACTTGCGACTCCATTGTAGTTTCTAGGCTCAACTTCTTGCAGCTTCTTATCCTCTACTGATTTTAATTTACTTCTACTCTGTTCTATAGGTCCGCGAACTGCAGGAAACCATCTCTCTGCCTCTTTCACCTTGGATGGGAAGCATATTGTCTCAGCGTCTGAAGATTCTAATGTCTATGTATGGAACTGTGACGTTCCCAAAGATTATGTGTCTCAACCTAAAGTGGTGAGGTCATCTGAGTTCTTCTCCAGTGATTCCACCATTGCAATACCCTGGTCCGGCTTGAAAACTGTAAATCCAGATAATGGACGGCATTGTGGAGGAGGACTAAGTCAAACTTCAAACAACATATTACCCTTCATTTCCTCTCCTTATCTTTCTTTGGGAAGTGAGTTGTTCCTTGAGGCAATTCCAAAAGGATCAGCAACCTGGCCTGAAGAGAAGCTTCCCGTGTCAAGTCCCCGGTCAACGTCTTCTGGGATGTGCAAATCTGAATACAAATTTCTGAAAAGTTCTTGCCAGAGTTCATCCGATTCTCATGCCTGGGGTTTAGTTATTGTTACTGCTGGCTACGATGGGAGAATACGATCATTTCATAATTATGGGTTGCCTTTGCCACTTTGAGTAGTAGGTACTACAGGGGTAATTTATGTTGTGGGCCCACCCTTTTAAGAACAATCTTTTTCATCCGGGCTTCAATGGAAGGATACAACAATGTGTGTGTGTGCCGTGCCCTTGCCACTAATTGATAAATATCCTCTGGTATATCTATCTCGGCTTTGTTCTGGAGAAATCCAGTAATTCTAACTTATTGGAGATGGATATCTGCTGGACAATGGTGGGATATATAGTTGCACAAGTAGAGATTGTTTTATACTTGCACAGTTCATGCTGGTTGTTGGCACATCAGAATGATTGAACTGTTTTATCTGCTATTTGCTTCAACGAAGACGGAGATTGACCACATGACACTAGTGAGAAGGCTAGGTGGGCAGCTCTTGGTGCACTGGTTTTTTAGCTGCGGAATTGTACATGAATCTGAGTTTACTACAAATGTGATAATACTTCCAGGCAAGTGCTCTCTCTAGCAAGTGCTTTTTTCTGATAAAAGAAGTGGGAGTTAAGAGGGGTATGCCGGTTTGACTCGGGATTACACTAACATATAGATGTCATTTCCATTTTATAGCTTTAAAAGATAGATTTAGTTGTTTCAATCTTTGAAAAAGGAAAAAAAAAAGGTTAGATTTAGTAGTGTCATGGTGTTGATGATGAATCAACGTGTATGAAATTTGACTCATCACATCAATTGTTAGTTCTGTACAGCAGTAGTTGTAGTTAGTGTATATGCTTTGTATATGCATTGAGTTCAGGGCTCTCCTACAAAGTAAAAATTACACCCAATTGAACCTTGTGTTGAGGTTCATCAATTTTTGTATCCAATCTTGTCGTTGATGTTCTTGAAATTTAAATTTGTTAGTAGTATTTTTTCATGAATATGGATCTGGCTCAAGAGTGTTGTGGGAATTAATAATTGAGATCCTTACCAACTTGACCGAATCATGGCACTAAAAATTGAGATTAACAGTCATCCAAAGTAGTTCATATTCCAAAAACAGTCTATTAATTCCTAAAACATATTTGATTTGATTATCGATTGAACCGAGAGTTGTCAAGGATGCTAATCTATAACAAACATCTTATTGATTTGGTTTATAATGGATCGAATCAATAACGCACACAATCGAGCAGCCCAAGTCTTTGACCGCTGAAATATTCTTTAACTGCAATTCTGTTCATAATGCGCTGCCTTTTTCTTCCAGTATCTGAGGTACCTACTAAATAGTTTTATCACCTTTTATTTTCTTCTGCTTGTTTTGTGTGGGTATTCGTGGGTGTCAAATTTGAGTGCTTTCAGATTATATTGTGAAGAGAAATAAATGTAAACAAATTAAGTCCGTCAATGAACAACTACAAGATTGGGAATCAACTAAATTAGATGCAGCCAACAAGGAAATAACAAACAACACATTTTGTCCATGATCGCATTCCTTGATATGAAACTGGCAAAGAAAAGGATGAATAGCAAGGCATATAATTTATGAACTATTTCATTTTTATTTCACTCTTGTATTTTTTATTATAAGTAAAGGTAATTGCTTAAGCAAATGAACATTAAAGTAGCCCTTACAGCCCCACAGGTCCACGCTACTTTTTTCTTTCAATATAAGCAAACACAAGTCTGGCGACATGTATAGATGATGCACAAACACGAGTCATAGTCTGTAGATATTTTGAAATGTAAGTAGCACAAATGCGATGCATGCCAATTTTGTCACCGTAACTTTCAATATGATGAGGTGAAGGAAAAGGAAAATGCATACCAGTGCTTTTAATGTACTACAAGACACTTTCAACAGACAATACATTTTTTTATACAATCCTATCAAAAGTCTACTAAAATGTTACAGCTTATACCAGAGTGAATCCACTCTGTTGACGGAGAAGAAAAATGAAACCCATGCTGATGGAGCCGAAGGACCACTTCAACAAATTTGCAGCATGATCCCAGTTCTGAGAAAAAAGAATGATAAAGCAGCATTGTAAGTTGTCTAGATGAGATAAGGCTGCAAAAGTATGGTGGACACTAGAAAAGAAGCAAATCATGGATCTCAACCAAACTTTTTTTCAAGCAGCAAGACAACCTATCAAAAAGAAAGAAGGGAAAAGCATCGCTGAAGTAGGTATCATTATCTAAAGAAATTATCAACTATATATAATTATATGTTTCATTGCCAAAGATGTAAGTCTGAAACAACACAAAAATTTGGCATCAAGAATGTTCCAAGTCTTCGACTCATATCAACCAAGCCTTTTATTCAGGTAAGCTCTTCTAGAACCAAAACACTAGTAACCTCTTCTATTAGTCTAAGCAAAGGTTTGAGTTATACAGAGAGATCTTCGAAGTCTTTTATCTGACCAGCACTCTATAATCCTCATTTCAGTATGGTCTTTACTCTTTAGATATTCCAACAGGAAGCATTCTATACATTGCAGTACTTTATAATTGACCGATTCCTCTACAAAACAGACATAATCTAACCAAGTACAACTACAGATTTTTTTTTGATAATGAGCCAAGTACAACTACAGAATTGAGGCATATCCACTTAAGAGTATTCTTGTGAGAGTAAATACAATTACAGTAAACCATAGTTTCTCCACAGGGTCATAATTCATAACACAAAGGCAACTATAATCATTCTAATCAAGAGAAGTTGTGGCCATGCAGCAGCGCAAATTTTGTGGTGAGTAAAGTAACAAAGATGTTTTTCACCAAAATAGATTCACAAATCATCTTATCTCTAAACTAAGGAATTTTATAGATCGCTATAAACCATGAGTAGTAACAACATTTATGATCCACATAACGAACTGCACACTCCACAATGTCATGATCCTATCTGACAATGATATAGGAGTAGCTATTAAAGCAAAATCAGGAAATAAATGTATTGCCCTAATTTTTGTACAGCCACGAAATTGACAATGAGCGGATTCCCTAACAATCCAAGTTAGTACTCCATAAGAAGTCCTCTATTCATTTAACAACTCTGGCATCTAACCAAAAAGCAATAAAGAATAACATAACATTGATGGGACAATATCAAGAAATTGCTAAAGCTACGTGTAGCGGCTATTGAGTTCACTTCCATCCATGAAGTTGCAACTGTAAGAGCATAAACCATCAAATACACCTCCTTTAATTATTTTTTTCCACTTCCAACATTTCCTTTTCAAGTTATTTACCGACACATCACACAAAGAAGACCTATCGTTCCTGTAGAGTTGCTCAACTTGATGAGCACTTTAATTGTCTTCAATCTCCTACACTCTATAAACCCAAAATATCATCCATTTGGCAGAATGAACAAACTTGCGTTGCGAACTTAAAACTGTTGTTAACCTAAACCAGCAGATGAAAGATGAGCTTCTACGTGAACACTTCTAACAGTGGTTTCTCCTCAAACAGTCAAGAAACTAGCACTGGTTGTTCCAACAAAAACTCTTACTGTAAAAGAACTCTATCCTTCCGTAGAGGGTGGGCCTTCAAGGTTACAAACTACCAAGTGACCGAGTCCAAGCAACTTAGGCTAGCTCCGTGTATATGTCCTTTTCCTCCATTGTATATTTCCAAATTTCCTAAGTTGGCATGTAACAGTAATCATTGTTAGTTCCAAATTTCTCTGTTGTTTTTGGTCAAAGTAACCAAAATTGATTGACCAAATCCCGTACGGATGCCACACTACATCCACACCTGTGTTGTGTCAACACATCTGACACTGACGGTGAAGAGTCCAGGGCCAGGCAACTTAGGAGCTAGTTGTTAAAGCATTAAATATGCTTCTATATACACATATTTTTCTGGTCAGGTCTTTTCCCTCTTTACTTCCTATACGCAATTATGGAGATGGAGTACTTGGGATCAGCAGTATTCTACGACATAAACATGCTATAAACAACCAATATAACAAGTTAACACACCTAAACTAACATAAACTGGAAAAAAGAATAACGAAACCTTATTTAATAGTGTTAAATTCAAATTAGTAACATTGCATGTACATATTCATATATTGACACACATAATACACAGACATGCTATGTTGTTTCAGGACCAGAAAGGCCAGAGAATGATTGTCAATACCAAAATACAGCAATGCTTAAAAATTGACAGCTTACTCCTTTTTAATAGTTCAACCTAATTCAAGTAAAATACATTACATAGTGAGCGCAAATCAGCTCAAACAATCACTACATAACAGCTTCGATTCTCATAGTTGCTTCCTTGCTATCCTTACAACAAAGTTACAACACTGGCAAACAAACACTCAAAATTCACAATAGAAACAGGCAAAAAAAATTTAAAAAATTACCGAATCAAACGGGGAGGTTATCAGCGGAGGTAGGATTAGTTGTGGCAGCGCAGGAATCGAGGTGAGAAGGGAGGGCGGAGATCATGAGAGGGCGCTCTTTAGCTTCTTCCTCTTCCTCGTCGTCGGATTCGGAAGTGTTGAGATTCACACACGAGCATCGTTCCAAGGATGCGAAAAACGCCGATGCAACACTTGTACCGAACCACCTCGCCAAACCGTCGAGCTTCTCGTAAGACATGATTGATAGGATTCTGAACTGTTCGTCAAAAGATTTGATGGATCAAAGAGAAAAACCCTAGTCCAGAGAACAGAGAGATTTTTGGGCGAAAAGATAGAGATGGAAGAGGCGAAAATGGTCAATGAGGACAGCTGGTGGCTTCTTCTCGATATATATCGACCAGCTGAGTCTACCAATTACTTTAAGAAAATACCTTTTCAAATTGTTTTCCCCCGGTATTTAGTTATAGTTAAATATTCATTTCAAATTATTTTTCAGAGATAAAATGTAGGACTATTTTATTTTATCACGAAATAATTAATTCCGAAATAACTTATTCTCTACGTATTGACCCGTAAATATTTAATATCTTTCCTGCATTTAAATCAAATAAGATTCAAAAGTTTTATTTTAGCTAAAAACCAGACAGAATAATATTTTATAAGCAACAGAAAAAGAAAGGAAAAAAAAAAGAAACAATAAAGGGGAAAATAAAATAAAAAAAGAGCAGCGTCTAGATGCCACGTAGGATGGAGATGTATCTACAGTTCTGGGGTTATGAATGGATAAGTCCATGAATGATATGAGAACAACGGAGGTGCTGGCAATAATACTCACAAAAAATGGCGTCAATATCGATTCCTTTAGCGTATAAATCTCATTCTCTCCGTCGTTCCCCAATTTATCGCCCTTCGCAACTTCACTCACCCATCCAAATCAAATGTTCAGGTACGATTCTCGTTTTTTTCTCATACTCAAATTCTCATAAATGTTCAAGCTGAAATCGCATCTGAATTTCGTTTATGATCTATGTTTGATTGATGCACCTGGAGGCAGCTTCCAAGGATTGTTCCAACAGTGAGGAAAGTTCAACTCAGTTTAAGCAACTTAGGAATGTTGCTTGTGGATTCCTTGCTGTTTGGGCACTTTCTTCTGTTTCTCCCGTTATTGCTGCTGGTCAGGTTGGGCCAAATGCCGTGAAGTTGTTCTATTGCTATTCGATTTCACATATTTCCTTCAGTGTGTTCTATTTTACAAGTCACTGGTTCGAGCCGTGAAAATACGGCTGACCTTTTTAATGTCACAGTATTGAATTGTGTTGTTAATTACATCTCATCTAAAACTTGGTCTAAAATCTGCTTAATATTTTAGTTTTAAAATGTGCGTACGGTTCTTTTCTTACTAAGTACGTATAGATATTCTGTTGATCGATGGGCCTAAGCTTATGCCAAGTTAAATTGTGTGAGCCAATTCACCCAAAAGGTTATTGCCATTTAAGTTTTTAATTTGGCAAATAAGTAGCCTAATCTAGTTGGCATTAAGAAATTCAAAATTAGTTGTATAGTTTTTCGATCCACATGATGATTCACTCCTGACATGTACATTTAAGTATCTTAGACTCCCATTAACTATATTGTTCATGTGAAAGCACGGAAATCTAGGTTTGAGCTGGACGGGATTTGAGATATTTGATGTTTTGCGAAAGTGCGTCTTATAAATGGGGAAGGGTCAAATTTGCCTCTGTTTTGTTTCAAATCGAGCAACTTTGCCATCCGTTAGACTTTTGATCTAATATTAACCCCGCCAATATGAAAATTGTTTTGTATCCTTGACCCCTAATGGAGCTCCAAATTGAGGGAAATTTTAAAGCATTGTCGAAAATTGAAGGGTAAAAAATGACAATTTGCTGACTGCAAGGAATGAATGGACCAAAAGCCTAACAGGGCCTTGGCATAGGCGTCATAGAATTCCCTGACCCACATGGTTGCCTGAGTTTTATGAACTGTTCAAACCGGTGAAATGAGAAAAAACATCTTACAGCTCATGTTCTCAAAACAAGAAATAAGCTTACGTGCATTTCGACTCAGAATTAATCTATCAGGACAAGATAGCTTCATAGGTCCATACATGTATGCAAGATTATCATTTGTTTACATTTCTGGTTGATTTTGCAGAGATTGCCTCCATTATCAACAGATCCAAATAGGTGTGAACGGGCCTTTGTTGGAAACACAATAGGTCAAGCCAATGGTGTTTATGATAAACCACTTGATCTGCGCTTTTGTGATTACACAAATGAGAAAACTAATCTTAAGGGGAAGTCACTTGCAGCAGCACTCATGTCTGATGCAAAATTTGATGGTGCAGACATGACTGAAGTGATCATGTCTAAGGCTTATGCTGTTGGTGCTAGTTTTAAGGGTAAGTTCACATTACACTTTAGTAGAAAAAATATTCTCTCCCTGTGTTTTAAGGCGACTGAAGAAGCAAAAGGTTAAAACAAAAGAAATATTGAGTGCAGTTGATTGAATTATACATATATGTCCAAAAATTCCTGTACATGTTACTGGTAAATTAGTATTTCATGATATTTATAATGAGGTCCTTAACATGCTTATATAACAGATACAATGTCCTTTAATTTGTAATTTGCCTCTAATGTCAAGGCCGGTTGAAACAGTAGGAATTATGTAGTAATTTGCACATTGATAGAGTACTTCTCAACTACTCAGTTTTTTTAGAAAGATGAAATAGAAAATGAGATTGAGCACCTGTGATCTTATTATTGCCTCGCCATCTAACTAATACGAATAACTCTTTTCTCATCAAAACTACTTGCGTATCTGATCGATGTTGTGTGTCTGCATTTAAGTAAAACTGAAGCATCTTTATAGGAGAGTGCATGTTTTGGTAGATTAAGTACTGTTCGTTTTTCTTTTTCCAGCTTTCTTATCTTTTCTTCGCTGAAACAAAACCAATTGAAGCTGAGGTGTTTATATTTGGAATATATATGTTTTAGCAAATCATGGTAGTACTGCCCTTCAATGCGTTCTCTGATTTTTTGACAGTAGCCATGGGTAAATTTGACAACAACCACTATTATGTCTCGCTAGGAAGGGCTAAAGAATGGCTTAAGCTTTCAATACATGTATGCCTTGTTTTGAATACTTTCATCTTTTTCAAAGTTGGGAATCTGACTCTTCAGTACATACAGGGACAGACTTTTCGAATGCCGTTCTCGATCGAGTGAACTTTGAGAAAGCCAACCTCCAGGGAGCTTCATTTAAGAACACTGTACTATCTGGATCTACCTTCAATGATGCGCAACTTGATGGTGTAGATTTTGAGGACACAATCATTGGATACATTGATCTACAGAAGATATGCACAAATAAAACTATTAACGAAGAAGGAAGAGTTAACTTGGGATGTCGATAACTTATGCTATTTTCCAGTTTTTTCGGACTTGATTCATCTTCCATGCTCCGTGGAATAATTGAATGTAAGCTACTACGTACTTGTAAATTTGTCATTTTGGTATAGCAAAGTGAGTGAGTTAGTTATCCTGGTAATGTCAACAGAAATTCAACTCTACTTGTAACTTACGTCATTTATACCTGATAGTCTAATTAAGCATCAATTTTCAACTGATGGACTTATGTTTGGTCTTTTAGAAGCAAATCATTCTGTAATTTGCTCCATTTATGATTTTTTGTCGCTGACAAGAAATATGCATCAGGCAATTGGGGACTTGAACAGTGGGATATTATGGGAGATCTATCTAACGGCAAAATGCCAAGCTATACTTTTGAAAGTTACTGAAAGGATATTTTAAGCGAACTGGTAGTATATATGAACGTTGTTGTTCTCTGTTAGAAACTGTTACCCCTCCTAAATTGGAACTCTAAACAATTGGAGATGGTGAAGTACCTAAAGTTACACAGTTGAGGGAGATGGTGAAGTACTTTTTTTGTTTGTTTTTGTTTTTTTACCCCTTCCCCAGGAGTTCCCACCTTTTTGCTCCCTTGGTGACTCGACCTCACAGTTGATGGTGAAGTAGTACCTAAAGTTACCCAGTTGAGCATTTCTTTTTCTCAAAATTCTCTTATTTCTCTAGGGAAAGTTTATCCAAACTTCAATAGTATATAAAACCCTTTTTCCAAACTTCAAAAGTATACTCCTTACTGTATAGCAATAGGTATATCTCAATCCCCCATTGACGAAAGCATAAAAGAAAAGATTCTCATCCAATAGGAGGTGGCCCATGAATATTCCTTGCCTAATTTGACACTCCAGAACTTCAGCTGGAAAGCCCATTTTTGAAGGAAAGCATCCCAAACAGGTGCCTTTCTTCACCCAAGCTGCTGACATGCAGACATAAAAAAAAGTTGCAGCAACCTGTGACGACCAAGCCGAGCAATGGATAAGGTTTTCAATACACCCCTGGCTCATCTGCTCGGTGCATTGCTTGTTCTTCTTGCACCAATTTTCCTTCAAGGTAAGCAAGTGATGCTTGATATTCACAACGCGTGTTTTATATACATTGTCAGTGGATATAATTCGAACTTCTTTTTTGGTAATAGGAGTTGAAGGAACAATTGGTGTCAATTATGGTACAGTTGCTGACGACCTCCCTCCGCCAGTCCAAGTTGCAAGCTTCCTCCGCGACTCCACCTTTATTCGTCGTGTGAGGCTCTTTGACGCTAACCCAGAAATCTTGAAAGCATTTGCTCGCACTGGCATTTCAGTGACTGTAAATGTGCCCAATGATCTAATTCCGCAGCTTACCATGTTGAGTTTTGCCCAACAATGGGTGGAAATTAACGTCCTGCCTTACGTCCCTGCCACCAACATAGTGAGAATACTTGTTGGCAACGAAGTAATTTCAACTGCCAACAAGTTACTTATTGTGAGCCTAGTCCCTGCTATGGAAACCCTCCAGGCTGCCCTAGTTGAAAAGTCCTTGGACCGTCACATCCGAATTTCTACTCCACATTTCCTAGGTATACTCTCAAATTCAAGCCCACCTTCTACTGGGAAATTTAGACCAGGATATGACATCCATGTTCTCAAGCCATTGCTTGAGTTCCTTAGAGCTACTAATTCACCATTCATGATAAACCCATATCCATTTTTTGATTCTTCTGATAACACACTTGATTATGCACTCTTTAGGCCTAATCCAGGGGTCTTCGACGAGACCACACAACTCACCTACACAAACATGTTGGATGCACAATTAGATGCAGTTTTTTCAGCCCTGAAGCTCCTGGATTTCGAAGACATTGAGATTGTCATAGCTGAAACTGGATGGCCATCAAGAGGAGATCCAGGGCAAGCAGGAGTAGACACTGGAATTGCAGCCGAATACAACAAAAAGCTCATACAACACGTGATGTCTGGAATTGGGACACCTCTAATGCCCAACAGGACATTTGAAACCTATATTTTCGCGCTCTTCAACGAGGACTTAAAGCCAGGGCCAACATGTGAAAGAAATTTTGGGCTGTTCAAACCCGATATGACCCCAGTCTATGACATAGGAATCGTACATCCAAGGGTAGCTAATGCTGCTGCCAATACTGATCACAGTCACACTAATAGCAGAACCAATTTGTTACTGCTTCTGTTAGTGTGCTTGATGTGTTTTTGAAATTGCCTCCGGCTTGCAGGCTGAAGCAAATTTTCCGTCGTGCCGGCACCAAAGGCTGCAACTATGAATCAAGCAACAGCAGCGCCTGCTGAAGGAAAAAATGGTGTCTTTCGAAACCAGGGACAAGTAAGGAAGCACTACAGAGGAACATCAATTATGTCTGTGGATTGGGTTTCTACCTATGTTGCTGGGCTCTTCAAAAGTATCAGCGGGTGCGTGTTGGATTTTCCAAAAATAATTTATTTTTGGAGAATCCGACACGTATGAGGCACCAAATCTGAAGAATCTGTGCAACTTAGGTTTCGATGCATGCAGACAAATCCAATATGGAAGTCCGTGCTTTCTTCCCAACGTTGTTCGAGCTCATACTATGTATGCCATGAATGCTTACTATCAAGCTAGCTCGAACCCTTAAAGAAATGGATTATAGGCTTAACTCAAAGCGAAGCGAAAAGTCCATGGCTGACTCGACAACAGCACGCCCAGAACTGTTACGACAGAGCAATTGAAATGACCAACAGTACATACACCAACACATCATTATACACTAGATTATATACTTGTACCTTGTACAATTAAAATTTACCTAATTACGAATCATACATATATAACTAATAAAATACTTTTGAATATTCTTCTCTCTATAGTAAATTTCAATTACCAAGTCACTATCTATGAGTACGTACGTATGTAATTTTCTAGGATCGGAGCTTTATTCTTTAATTATTACAATCTTTGTTTTAACAACTCATGTGACCACAAAATTTACAAACATTTGTTATGATACTCAAATTTTAATTTAAAATCACAAATTTCAATTTTTACACAGAGTAAATATATTATAAATTTTATATAATTCATCAAATTATCATTTGATAAATCAAATTTACGTGTATCGCAATTTAGTACGTACAATAAATACATGTCATATATGTAGTGTACATATAATATAACGATCCCGATAACAACTGCCAACATTTTCATTTTCTCTTTTTCGCTACTGTCAAGCTCAACTATCGCTGCCGTCCTTTTTCTTCTTTCAGTTTTTGCTCATATATATTTTCCGACGATCTAGGGTTTCCACTTCAATAATCATGGCCGATTGGCAGCAGTATCTACAGTCGATAATCTTCGGTCTCATTTTCTCTTTCCTTCTCGCCAAGCTTTTCTCTATTATCTTCGCTTTCCGTGATGAAAATCTCCGGATTACGCGCGCGGATTCCTCCGAGGCTGAAGAGAAAAGATCACCGGAGGAAGCTGATATTATCGGGGTTTCGGAAGATACCGAACCGTTGATTCAGAGGAACGACGGCGGTTTGAAAGGGAGTTCGGTGAGTGGTGATGAAGATAGCGATGATGATTGGGAAGGTGTAGAAAGTACTGAGTTGGATGAGGCATTTAGTGCTGCGACAGCGTTTGTGGCGGCTACAGCAGCTGATCGGTCGCATAAGGTATCAAATGAGGTGCAACTGCAGCTCTATGGGCTTTATAAGATTGCGACTGAGGGACCTTGCACTGCTCCACAGCCATCGGCTCTCAAAATGACTGCTCGTGCCAAATGGTAATGCTCTCCACAATCCTCCTCTTATTGTTTTTGCTGTCTTAGTTTAGATTTTCATTTGCTTGCTTTGTGACTAGATAGTTTGACATATTATGTTGATGAATCTGATACTCTGCTTTAGAAACAGAGAGCAAGCACTATTGGATCTGTATAAGATATCATGTTACATGTCCATTTTAGCATAAGGAAGGAAAAGTAACTCAAACGGTGAACTTTTATGATATATGTAATTAGTGAATTAAGTAGTTTTGAGATTTTTGTTAAACAGAATTATACCTTGATAGGAGTAATAAGACTAGATGCTGATGCTTAATTACCGGTGCAAGAGGATACACTTTGCAGTGACCTAAGTAACTTTGGCATATAGTGAATCATATTGTGCCAAGACTTATTAGGATAAGCAACTAAAGGCTATTGTTTCCTTAGTGGAATGTGGAATGATAGTGATGCTTATGAAATTTATTTACAAAAGTTTACTGCTAGTTATGTTAAATAATAGGATGTAAGGGATGAGGTAAGTGGAAGTTCCCAAAGACTTCTCTGTAACCTTGCTTGGAAAAACAAGTTGTTATCATTTCTAGGTTGTTTCAAATAAAGTTGCTTGTGGCATCTTCATGGCATGATTCCGCTGTAGTTATCTTCTAGAAAAAGAAATCCTCCAAGGCATGAGAAAGGCATTTTCTCAGATCTCAATGACGCGATCTGGAATGAGAAAGAGTTTTTTTTCTAAAATATACTGACAGTAACTTTTCATATAGCTCATCACTTCAAATGAGTAATTAATATCCTCTTAACCTTTTTGGGTGTGTGGATCTCCCCTCTCCTTGTAATCCTGTTTGAAATATAACATATACTAGGCTGGTAGCTTTTCTCAAATCTTTTAACGGTGAAAAGAGTAAGGTCATAGAAGCAAAATCCTCTCAACCTGTCTTCCATGTTTTTTTTATAGATCAAATGTTTTCTATGCTATCAGTAATATATTTGGTTGGTCTCTCTAACTGACTGATGCTAAGATTTGCTTTCATCATGTATTAGGCAAGCATGGCAGAAATTGGGTGCCATGCCTCCTGAAGAAGCCATGGAGAAGTATCTTGATATCGTGACTGAGTTATTTCCTTCCTGGCTTGATGGGTCTGCAAATGTAAGACATGCATCTTTGTTATTAATAGCAAGCATTCATGTCTTTGTTTTCCTGTTCTATTTTTTAAAAAAAATTCTACTTCCTTTTCTTCTTCCTGATGTCTTCTTATTTCTGTTTGGCCTCCTTGACATGCTCAAATAGAAAAAGAAGGGTGAAGAAAGTAGTGGTGTACATAATGCAGATACTAGAAGGCCAATGGGACCAGTTTTCAGTACCTTCATTAGTGAGGAGGATTCCGAAAATGAGTTGTAAGGTTCTTTAACTCGTTTGAACTTAAACTCTTGCAATCTGATTTTGTTTTAAATTATGGCTTGTATAACATATTTAAACGTGTCCCTCTCGGGAAATCATGCACTCCCTCTGTCCTGAAAAATATCCTTATTTGCTATTTCAAATAAGTATTGCACTTTCTTTAAGGGAAGGATTTAATACGTTTTATATAACTCAACTTATGTAGGACCCTATTTTACTACTATTTAGATACCTTGGATGCAAATTTGCTCCTAACGAAGACTAAGCTACTCATCTTCTTCTAGTAAGCATATGGAGTACTACCAAACTGGTAAGGGAGAAGAGAACAAAATTAGAATTAAATGGTTGTATATTAGTATGTCATGGTTTTGTTTCTTTTTCATGTCCTACCCCTCTCCAGTTATAGTTGAATTTTCTACCTAAAATTACAACTGTCGAAGGAAATTTCCAGCTTCGCTTGAATCAATCAAACTTTATTATGAGTTCTAACCCTGAAGACCTTTCACCAGTTGGCTCGACAGTTTTAACTTCAACTAAGGCATCGTTCTTTTGGCCTTCGGGTACTGGGTATGGTGTAGTTTTTTTATTTGTTGTCACCCTTTCTTCTATTCCAGGACTATATTTGCAACAAACTGCGATGTAGTCTACGACTAGTTTTTCTTGGCATCAAAAGGCAGAAACATTCTTTGGAGTTTCATTCTGATATTCTTGTTTGTTTATAGAGTTTATTTGTCTTCCAATCTTAATTTTTTTTTTCCTGCACTAAGAGGCAAACCTTCTTTGTTTATTTGTCTTTTATCTATATGTGTGTATTTTGTAATATTTATAATACTTAGGGAAGAAGAAATCTTATAAATCACATGCTCATTATTTTCTTTGCAGAAAATTGGATGAGATACATGCCTTTGCACGAGAAGGGGACGACGAGAACTTGCTTAAGTGCATTGAGAGTGGCATTCCTGTGGATGTGAAAGGTTGGTTCACAATGTGATACATAAGTTCTTTTGAAGTCTACGTATGGTGTTTTAATGTTGATAATTTTGATTCACTATTAAGTGCATTGATTATGGTTTTTAATTGATAACCGATTCTGAGGATGGGTCAGTCTTCTTTGAAACAAGATGATTCTCTTGCATTATTACCAAGAAGAAAAAATTAATAGTGTGGAGAACTGAGAGAACATTTAGGGTGGGTGAGGTGACTCAAAATCCCAGAGTTTGAATGATGTCTACCAGGAACTTGTAATGCAGATTTTTCTGTCTTTCCGTTTGTTTGAGGTTCTTCCTGATTAAAAATTGTTTCTTGAAATGATTCCAGACAGTGAGGGCCGTGCCCCCTTACACTGGGCTGTCGATCGTGGTCATCTCAACATCACTAAATTGCTTTTAAGCAGGAATGCAGATGTAAATGCCAAGGTACATATAGTTTTCAATACAGCCAAGGTGCATATAATTTTGCATCATTACACCAAACCCCTAATCTTGTTTCGGTTCTGTGATTTGTTATATATATGCTTTGTGGGGCTTGTATTTTTTTACATGATTTGTTTCATTTGAAATCCTAAAGAGTCATAACCTTACTTGATGTAGCTGTAATTTTCTTGTATTTTCACCCTCTCCTCTTTTTCTTTCTTCCCCCAACTCTCTTAAATATAGTGTGTTTGAGAATTTGTCATTATATTGGAATTTAAAGAGAGGCAAAGAGCAACATAGATGCAAGATTTGCAGAGAGAGAGAGAGCAAAGAAGACTACTGTGCTGAAAGCTTTACTAAACCTAGTGAGTTTTAAAATTACATTATCTGACCATGTAATCATAAAGCAAGATGATATGGCCAATAGTGTGCCAAAACATACTCAAGTACATGTGAGACAGATGGTTTAATGAAAACCCTAACATCAACCAAACTCTCAAGTGTGGCCTATGTTTTTAAGGATACGTAATGGACACAAAATGCAAGTGGCGTATAAGAATCGCTAATTTTACATGAAAATACTAATGTCACTCAAAACGCAAGTGCAGTATAAGAGACGGTCATGTTCTACCTGAAACTGTAATATATCACTCGAAACATAATTAAAACGGGTGTACTGATGTAATTCTTGGCTAGTGGAACTATCATAGAGAGCTCAATTGAAGTGGTTTTCATCCAAAGTTTGTTTCCCAAAGGTTCTGTACCTTGAGAAATATTATACTAGATCTTTATGAGTCTGCAAATTCATAGTTGAAAAGGTTAGGTTTTGTAGAACTTGGTTATAAACATTGAAGCTCTTAATTCTTCAATTTTGTTTCCACTGTATGTGGATGCTTCTAGTTTACTGGTTTTGTGATACTCTGAATTACAAGTTGTTGTTGTTATTTTGATCATTGAAGGACCTTGAGGGCCAGACGGCACTGCATTATGCTGCTGTTTGTGAAAGGGGAGATATTGCTGAGTTTCTCGTAAAGCATGGTGCTGACGTAGAGATCAAGGATAATGAAGGTGACTGCCCTCGTGATGTCTGCGAGTTGCACTGGCCTTGGTTGCAGCAGACCACTGTCCACAACTAACGTATATCATATTTTGTCCTTTTTTTCCTCCTTTTCTACTGATCGATCATGTTACTGCTGTCTGTACATGCTTATGTAGCCACCTA